AGAGTATACCTTGCAGCAAAACATACTTCATCATCCCATGATGCTCCAAGATTGTGTTAAGCTGCTTTGGTTTTATCTGCAGAGCCATGACGTTCTTAATACAGCTCTAAGGGGCTTTTTGCTTATTCATTTGGAGTTCACAACTCTTAGTTTTGTTATTTGCTTGGGAAGAAGATAGACAAAGCTTACTTCCTAAGCCAAGTCCTCTAATATCTTGCTACTCAAAGTGTGGTCCCTGGCCCAGCAGTATCCTTCAATTTTAATATGCATGTAAAATTTAAGGAGTTCATGTAAAAATGCAGATTCTAAGTCAGCCTAAAATTTTACATTTCTTTTTTTTTTTAACCCTTTCCATCCTGGGTTCCCTGTGCCCATTCAACCAGCTCCTATCCCTTCCTGCCTTCTCATTCTGCCTCTGGACAGGAGTTGCCCATTTGGTCTCATGTATCTGACTGAACTAAGAAGCACACTCCTCATGAGCATTATTTTTTGTTTTATGGTCCTGTCAAATCTTTATCTGAAGAGTGGGCTTTGGGAATGGTTTTAGTTCTGGGTTAACAGAGGGTCCGGGGGCCATAGTTTTGGGGGTTCCTCCAGTCTCTGTCAGACCATTAAGTCTGGTCTTTTTACTAGAACTTGAGTTCTGCTCCACACTTTTTTATCAGGGACTCTCTGTTGTGTTCCCTGTCAGGGCGGTCATTGGTGGTAGCCAGGCACCATCTAGTTCTGATCTCAGGCTGATAGAGTCTCTGGTTTATGTGGCTGTTTTGTCTCTTGAGCTAATATTTGCCTTGTGTCTTTGGTGTTCTTCATTCTCCTTTGCTCCAAGTGGAAGCAATTGGGACCAATTGATGCATCTTAGATGGCTACTCACAAGCTTTTAAGACCCCAGATGCCTCCAAAGTGAGACGCAGAACATTTCCTTAATAAACTTTGTTATGCCAATTGACCTAGATGTCCCCCGAAACTATGGTCCCCAATGCCCCAGCCCCAGCTACTCTGTCCCTCAAAGTGTTTGGGTGTGTTCAGGAAACTTCTTAGCTTTGCTACGTTTCTAACAAGCTTACTGCCAATGCTGCAAGTCTACTCTAGAAACTTATTACTCAAAAGCATCAGCCTCACCTGGGAACTTGTAGGAAACGCAGAATCTCACTCCCTTCCCCAGACCTATTAAATCAGCATCTGCATTTTAACAAGATCCCCAGTGATTTATACTCACATAAAAGTATGAGAAGCATTACTCCAGAACATACGTGAACCAAACAATTTTCCCAAGACTCTGGCTACACATCCTCTATTTGCAGTGTAGCTACTTCAGGTACCATAATTCCTAAAATATAAGGTATGTTGCTGCAGCAGACTCTTGCTGTGCTCTGCCCATGTCTGCTGAGGTCCCTTTGCCATTTTCCTTTGCACCTCCTCAGTGTGCTTCCACTCCCAACAGCTGACACCCTTGTCTTTTTGTTGACCAACTTCCCTCTGGCTGCTGGAACCCCCTTTGCCTGTGAGCAAGGAGAGCAGGAAGTACCTGGAGATCTCCATCCTCCTGCAGCGCTTAACCAAGACTGACAGGAGAAGGGATCTCCACACTCCAGCTCCTTTTGTCCATGATCAGAAAACTCAACATTGAGGTGTGTCTACACAGGAGGGAATGAACCAAAGCTACCCTCTGCAGGACTTTGAGATCTCACCCTTGCTGCCTCCTTCCCTTCCTGATCCTGCTCCCTCCCCTACAATGTTGTCAGGGAACATTTCATTTAATAAACGCCTTCCTCATATGTCCTTGTCTCAGGGTCTGCTTCTTGGGAACCCAAACTAAGACATGCCATCTTAGCTCATTGTAACATAGCAAGACACCAGCACGCAACCACCAGTTAGGTTGTTTCTGCAGGTCACTTGGTCGCTGCTTTAGTTCTTGAATCTCTGATTCAACCTGAGTCAGGTCTTATGAAGATCGAAAGACTGTAGGAGGCCAATAGAGTCTAGGAATTCTACACTTGGAAATTCAGGTGCTCACATTCTGAGAATGTGAAGATAATAATATATGCTTTACTTTTTGAAAGAGCTAGCTTGATCTGTATGGCAAAGATGATGATGACACTGTCCTTCAGTGGTTTTTATAAGCAACCCACAGAAAGAGCTAATGATCTAGAAGACCTGAGCTATCCACTGTGGCAGCCGCAGCCACATGCAGCTAATGAGCACTTGAAAAGTGGCTAGTGCAAAGAGAGATGGGCTATAAGTATAAACTACACTCTAACTTTTGAAGACTTAGCAGAAAAAAAGAACGTAAAATGCCTCATTAAAATTTTTTATATTGATTACATGATTAATAATTATTTTTTTAAATATTGGGTTAAATATATTATTAACATTAATTTTACATGTTTCTATTCACTTTTCTAATGTGACTACTAAAAAGTTTTAAATTACACGTGTGGCTCACTGTAAAGATGGCATGGGGGCCATGTCCTCCTCTCTCTTCAGGAGAGGGAAGGAGAATCAAGATCAACAGCCCAAGGCTGATTCCTATGAGGCGGAGGTCAGTCGCGCCTCCTCTCTCTGCCATCTTTACCAATTCTGACACCAGTTGTCCCCCCCACAGCAATCTCTACCTCTGTACTGGGTTTGATAATTCATTGAAATGGCCACACCAAATTCACAGACCATACTCACGATTATGGAATTTATTATGGAAGTAACAGTTACAATTCAGGCTCAAGAGCACTCAGGATACAGTTCTTCCATCAGGACAGCCTCTTCCCAGCCATGGTCACAGTCAGGCCTCTCCCTGGCCCTTGGCCTCTGCTGAAAGGCACTCAGCTTTCTCTCTCCATGGGTCAGGAAGTCCAACACTCCCTCTCCTGCTGCCATGTCTCTGCTGCCAGGTCTCTGCCACCAGGTCTCGCTGTCTTCAGTGTTAGAGTGCTCTCTCTCTCTCTTTCTGTCTCCTGGTTCTGGCGGCTTCTCAGTGCAGGGATCACGGGTCCAAAAGATGTGCTCTCTGCTCCTGGCTGTTCTTTCTTGGTGGTTGTAGGATCCTGTCTTTCCCGCCTCTGGGGTAGCTTATTTCAAGCCTAACGGAATGGCAAAACTGATCAATCCCCTTGGTGGGTCACAATTACCCTATGACACAGTCCCGCCCAACCACTTGGGTAGGAGTTACAAGACCATGGTGAGAAAGACCACGCAAAATCGATCCATTGCATCGAACTCACATTGTATTTCTATTGGACAGCACATATAGATCTGGTACTGAATATAATGGAGGTTTTAGCTTTCAGTCTACAAGGGCAGATCAAGTCAAATCTCCCCACCTCCACAATACCTATTTCTGGTGTAGAATTAGCCCCCAGTGTACGTAGACATCTGTACGTTACTCTCCCTTATAAATACTTTTACCAGTGCATAAAGTTGCCATGAAACTGGTAATGTTATGAGTATTATACCAGAAACATTTTAAAAATCAATACCAGTAGTCATTACTCTTGGTTTAAAAGTACCTAATTTGAGGAAAATTGATTTTCAAGCTCTTAAAAAGTTATTCTGATAACTTTTCTGTCTGTAGATCAAGTTTGGTGGTCAGTAATTTTGCTTCACTCCCACAACTCTTCTGTGCTGTCTTTTCTAACTCCTCTACCAACAGTCTATGCAGTTCAAGGCCTCAGTGCGTCTCATGTGAACTATTGCATTTTTAGCTTTCTAACTGATCTTCTCCTCTTTGATTTCTCAGCCTCAATTCCATCCTAGACAAGGCTGCCAGATAATCTCTCTATACACAGTTCTAGTCCTAGCAGTCCTCACTTCTCCCCTAAAAAAATAAAACAAAAAAGTCCTTAGGTGATACAAAATTTCTTGCTAAATTACCTACAGATTCCTGAACAGACATTCAGTGCTCTCCATGGTCTGTCCCCAAGTCAACTTTTGTTGTTGTTGTTGTAACTCCCCTCCCCTTTTCCCTTTACAATTTCAGTTAGACTGCATTCAGTTCCCTCAAACTTCTGCCAGGTTTGCTCACCTTTGGTTCGTTTACCAGATGATTTTCTCTGCTTAGAATCTTCTCTTCCCTTTCCCATCACTCAATGTCCTCCGTTCCTCAAATTTCATCTCAAATACTGCTGTATTACATGACAGAGTCTTATTAGTGCCTTAAGGCAGGAAACAAACAAACAAACAAAAAAAAAAAGCAAAAAAAGCCAATGAAATGCTAGTAGAAACAACAAAAACAATCAAACTAAGTGTAAAAGCTTGTTGAACTGAAAGGCATTATTTCATTGGAAAGAGAACCAAATCAATGACAACAATATCAGATGGTTGCTTGGCTCTCATTTTATCTTCTCTTGAAGAATTTTTTTGGGGACCCAGAATATTTATTATGTGTTCAAAATCATCATCCAGAATGGGCCTTCTACTTGCTATTTCCCATTTTTTCTGAAAGCCAAGTGAGATCACTGGTGAGTAGTGTGAGGTAGGGATTAAGATTAGAAGAGCAGTAAGGGATTAACAGAGTTAGGGGGAGGAAGAGTATTGGGCATTGTGTGACATTATGACTACAACTGGTTTAGAGAATGTTTAGAATTATAATTAACATTTAAAGATCTCTGGTGTAGCTGTTTTTGCTTGAGTAGATTATATTTGCATTTCTGTTGAAAATGTATTTCATTATATTTAAAGATATTTTCTGTAACTCTTTATCTGTTTCTAATGCAAAAAAAAAAAGTAAAAAGTGTTCAGTTATTGAAAGGCAACATTGCAGTTGCCTATCCATGCCACAAAGTTTAAAAAGCAGAAAAAACTTTGTTTATGTGTAAAGAATATTTCCTTAGAAAATGAGTAGTCACTCTGGGATTTGAATGTAATTATGTCATTTTTACAAAAAAGGGGGGAAACCATAAGGCATACAAATTGAACTAATTCATCCTCCTGGAAGCCGAGCTAAAAACATGTATCTAAGTACTATGCAGTATTTCAGCTAATACGAGTGTGATTGACATTTTCAGGAATGGACAAGTGAGGTTTTCAGTCTGGCAACAAACCTGCTGGCCCAAAACATGTCCAGGAATGCATTTCTGGAAAAAGCGTAAGTAGCTCTAATTTTATTGCTAAGGGTGTTGCTTCTTCTGAGTCAGTTTCCTTTCTTCTTTGTGAGTCTTTTGTTCATGCTGCACTGGCCTCTCACAATGATAAACATAAATTTTCCTTTGGGGTTTGTTAGAGTACTGATACCTTCCGTGTTCCGTACTGGAAGACTCCCAAGAAAATCTGCTCTTTTTTTCTCCGAGCTGCACATCCATGTTACACCTGGGGTGGGTTCTCCTGAATGTCAGTGCCTGTGATACACAATAAGGAGACACATCCAAATCCTGGCAGCTGTGCTTAGAACTAAAAATTATTAATTTCAGAAAGTCTTCTGCTTCTACGTCTGCCTTTGTTGTATCAATTACTGATCTGAGGAAGAGAATTAACAGCATATGTCACTTATTTTGCTAGAGTTTTAGACCTCTGAGAGATGATACAATAACTTCCCTGCCCACTTAAATTAATAGGTTGATGCCCTGATTCCAGCCCTGTAGACAGTTACAGCAGGTGTTAGTTAGAAAAGAGAAACAATGTAGAGGAAAGATCAAAATGAAAAGGAGGAGACACATCGTGAAAATTGTAACCAATGTCTCAGAACAAGTTGTATAAAAATTATTAAATGGGAACTCAATTTGATGTGTAAACTTTCACCTAAAACACAATAAAATATATATATTTTTTAAATAATAAAATAAACCCACTGTATTAAAAAAAAAGAAAAACCCTTTGGATGACAACAGTCTGATTCCTAGCTGATCAAAGGGATGGCACAGTGTTGGGCAGTGTTTCATTCCATTGTACATGAGGTCACCAAAATTTGGGAGCCAATTGGTTGGAAGCTGACAACAATAACAATTTATAATAAAGTGTGATTAATATGTAAATGCTTAGGTACAACCCTACCAGCAGGTGGAATGTAGTAGTCAAAACTTTTATCTATACAATAAGTAAGTTGGGATTTAAGTGTAAAAAAAAAAGAAAAGAGGAGAAAAGGAGAAGTAAAGAAAAGCAAAACATGATTACCAAATTGTTCTGGAATTACAACAGCGTTTCTAAAAATGATTTGACCAAGGAAAATAATGATTTATGCCAGATGAGCAGCAAGAAAAGCTGGCTGTGTTCATTTTGGAAGCTGTGAATGTTCGAGTTTGGGAAGCCTTTAAATCAAAACCACAAGCAGAAACATTGTTAGGTGGTCGTCTGTTTTCCTTAATGGTCTCCTCTCTTCCTTCTTCTTATGCAAGACTTACCCATCATTCCAGACCTAAGACTCCAGCCCATATTTCTTTTTTACTCTTCTATAAATTCATTTTACTTTTACTCAGTACTGCACAGGTCTTCATTTAAATGTTTTTCATACGTTCATCTTTGTCTCCTAAATTAATTTTTCATCTTGAGGACACTTCCTGTATACTTTCCTCTTCCAGCTCCCTCTTTTTTACTCTTTCTTTGATCCTACCATCCATCATACAATGAACGTTTCTGGAACATCTATTGTGCCAGGCAATGTGAGTGGACAGAGGCACAGAGATAAACAAGACGTTTTACCTGAAATACAGGATTTTATAGCTAGTATAGCATACAGTTGACTAATCATTGTCTATTACAAATGTCTATTCCAGATAAGTGCTTCCTTATGAGTTATGAGTAGTTGTTGCGAACATTCTAGAACATGTCTTTTGATGAACATATTGTAGCCATTTCTGTCATACATATACCTAGATATGGTACTGCTGGGTCCTATCATGTGCACTAAAGGGGTAGTCCTAATTTGCATTTTTATCAGCAGTGTCTGAGAGTTCTTTTGTTCCATTTCTCTACCCATATGTCCATAAACAGTTGAGGAGATAAATACAGTTGTTATGTTCACATAATTGAATACTATACATCAAAGAGAATGGTTGACAATTGTAAGCAAAAATAATATGGCTGGATCTCAAAAACAGTATTGCGTAAAAGAAGCCAGACACAAAATAATATGATTCCATTTACATAAAGTGCAAAAAGAGACAAAAATAATCTATGTTGTTAAAAGACATGGTAACAGTTCTTTGCGGGGATAGGTTCTGCAAGAGGGCATGCTCTGTTTCTTGACCTGGGTGCTGTTAGCAGAGGCATGGGCAGTTTGTGAAAATCCAGCAAACTCTACATTTACAAAGGCCCTTTGTGATCTGTTTTTTATTCTTCAATAAAAAAAGCTTTTATAAAAATTTAACATTGTTTTTCTGCTTCTCCAACAGCTATACTAAACTTAAGCTGCAAGTCACTCCAGAAGGGCGCATTCCTCTCAAAAAGTAAGCTGCGTGAGCATTTCCCATTATTCATTTTCTTCTTCACAAAGACTTGAATCCATGCCATGGTTCTGTCGTGTTTCTTCACTGGCCTAAGTGGGAACATGGAAAGGCGTGGTGACCCCCCTTTTCCCACGTACCATGTCTCACTTCCCTGCCCCTGGGTTTCTAGTAGAGATTTACCCGGGTTCCCCTTTCCCATGGTATCTTCAGGAAACACCAAAGCAGGAAGGGGGCAGTAGGGGCAGGGGAATCTTGCTGTCAAACCCAAAAGACCATCTGATATTCAGATCAACTTTAGGAGTGAAAATTGGGCAAACTTAGTGTCTCCCTGAGGAGCCCTGGTGATGCAGTGGTTAAGCACTTGGCTGCTAACCAAAAGATCTGTGGTTTGAACCCCCCTGCTGCTCTGCAGGAGAAAGATGTGGCAGTCTGCTTCCGTAAAGATTTACAGTCTTGGAAACCCTTTGAGGCAGTTCTACTCTGTCCTGTAGGGTTGCTATGAGTCAGAATTGACTCGATGGTAGAGGGTTTGGTTTTGGGGTTAGTGCCTCTTCTACCAAGATTAAACTCAAATGCCACCAAGAGCCAGGCAGGAACTTAAATGATTCATCAGGCTAGGAGCAGGAAGAAAAACTGAGGAGCAAAACCCTTTCTAAAAGAGATAACAACGACTCACCTCCACCATTATTCCCCATGAGAATGGTGCGATCTGGGTGCTAGATTTTCTAATGTTTAAATAGAATCCATTAACCCAAATTTTGATATTAAATTTCCCAGTACTTAATTTTTTAAAACCAAATTACTGGGCAAAGAAAGCACATCTCTAGACCATATTCACAATCATAGCAACACACAAGCCACCATTGATGGAGGGGTGGTGGCTGTGCGTGAGCTACATTGGCTTGGCCAGGAATCCAGCCCGGGTCTTCTTCATAGAAAGCAAGAATTCTACCATTGAACCACCACTGTCTCCAACGGTAGCAATTTTAGTGGAAAGAGGCACAGAGATGAATAAGGATCTTTTCAACCTTTGACTTACTAGCTACCACGGAGCTTCTGTTAATAAAAATACTTGGGACAATGAGGAGCAGCAAAGGCTGGCTATTTATTTTAGTGCTTAATGGTTAGAAGTTATTTAATGCAATACTTTTAAATCAGGTCATTACCGTTGTTTCAAAATATAGATTTTATACAGACACTTCAATTTTTTAAAAGCACACACATAGATCTTTCAGAACACAGATGCAGGCGTATGGAGGAATGGGTATCTATTCATTGTTTGAAGATGAACGAAAAATAGGCTTGATTCAATGGAACGTTTTCAGTTGTCATCATCTGTATGTGCTGTGATCCATATACCTTTTCCACATCTCTCATTTGTTTTGTTTTCACTTCACAGTGTATACCGCTTGTTTTCAGCTGACCGGAAGCGGGTTGAAACTGCTTTAGAGGCTTGTAGTCTTCCATCATCAAGGGTGAGCATATGGCCTTCCTAAAAATAGCACAGCTAAATACCTTTCAATAATCCATAAAAATATAATTACCCCGATAGTACCTAAAGATAATTTTTAATTAAGAAGACCATAGCGCTTACTTGTTAATATTTGCAATATATAGGACCACTGTGATTGTATTTTCTTTTACTCTCACCACCCCAATATTTCAATCTAGACTGAATCTTGCTCTTTGTAGCTATTAACACAATAAACATCTAATCAGGTATATAAAAAAGTATTGACCAAAAAGGTTGATGTTATCAAGAAGACCATTTAAAATTTCAATTTAAACCTATATTAACAATAGAAAATTTTTAAAAATTGTGCTTTAGATGAAGGTTTACAGAGCAAATTAGTTTCTCATTAAACAATTAATACACATATTGTTTTGTGACATTGGTTGCCAACCCCATGACACGTCAACCCTCTCCCCTTCTCGACTTTGGGTTCCCCATTATCGCTTTCCTGTCCCCTCCTGCCTTCTTGTCCTTGCCCCTGGGTTAAACCCTTTCTTGATGTCCCTTGAGCTATTAACTAATTATATTATGAAGGCATGATTAGGGAGATACGTGAAATATTTATTTTATCCTTTATAAATTTCTAGTTTTGAGATTTACAAATTACAAAAGCAATTGCTATGGTAATCATGTTTATAAATAAATATATTTATATGCTCAGGGGTGGGGTTGTGCTCAAAAAGTTTTTACTGAGAAGGGTGTATGATCAGAAAAGTTTGGAGACCACCTACCTTTCTCATATGGTGGTAAAGTACATTAGGGGACAAGCATGGAATGTACTTTTTTCTTTTTTTTTTATGCCTAACACATAGGAGGCACTCAGTGTATGTTGTTGTGTGCCGTCAAGTTGATTCCGACTCATAGTGACTATATATGACGGAGTAGAACTGCCTAACACATAGGAGGCACTCAGTGTATGTTGTTGTGTGCCGTCAAGTTGATTCCGACTCATAGTGACTATATATGACGGAGTAGAACTGCCCCATAGGGTTTCTTACACTGTAATCTTTACAGGAGCAGATTGCCAGGTCTTTTCTCCTGTGGAGTGGCCAGTGGGTTCCAATTGCCGACCTTTCAGTTAGCAGCCTAGCGCTTAGCCATTGTGCTACCAGGGCTCCTTTTCAATGGATGTTAGCTTCCAAAATTAATTTGCCTTAATTTCCATGCATTCCTACATACTTGGCTCTAAAATGATTTGTTACCATTGTTACTGGAAGAGCAGAGTGAATTGCATAAAACTTTTCCTCATGATAAATGTGGAACTCTTCTTTCTGTTACCAATTATTTTTACTCAAGTATCTAAGCAACAAGTAAGAACTTGTCTAAGGATAAAACTGACTTGATAGGAAGAACTTGTGAGCCTCTTCAGACACATTAACAATGTTCATGTCACACTGAATGAAGTTGAGAAGCCAATCTTAAACTTGTAATTGAACCATGAAAAAAAATATTAAAGGCTGTTATAAATGCATCAGCCAATTCTTGTTGAGAATACTTTTCAGAAAAGTGACATTTAGTAAAGACTTCACTAGGTGCCTTTTCGCCCTCAGTGTTCGGCTATAGGTGGAAAAAACTAATGATGTGGCAAAAACTGGGCAGAGCTTTAGAAGGGCTCCCCAGACCATTTTACCCTTCACTTTAATAAGCAAAATAAAATGTTTGAACTCGTTGAGCTCGTTATTGCTCATTCAGTAGATCCTTTGGAAGCAGCAAAGTTAACAAGGGTCTGTCATTGATTCAACAGTTATTTCTTGAGCTCCCACTCTGTGCCTGCAGACAATAAGAGTATGGTGGTGAGCAAAACGAAGTACAGGGATTCAGAAGTCCTGTTGGGGAGCTGGTCAATAAACATGTGGGCTGACTCATGTGTAAACTGGGAGGGGAGAGCTATGAAAGAAAGGAATTGAGTTCTGCCACTGAGAATACGGGAAGCTCACTCCAGAAACAGAAAACAGTGTGTTCAAAGTCCCAAGTCTGGAAAGAACTTAATGGGTTTGAGCAACTAAAGACAGACCACAGTATTCAAGCATAAAGAGAAAGCTAGAGAGGTGGATTTGGGAAGTAGGAAGAATTTTTTTTCCTCTGCAGTTGCTCCCGATTTTACCTTTATTGGATAACATCTTATGAGATACAGTGATCAAAAAATTTTAACTTATTGTAAATCTAGCAAGAGAAAGAAGAAATAGAAAACGAAGCGAATAGAAAATCAAATCCAACAACCAGTTCTAGTAAATTGCAATTTTCTAAACAATTTGATTCTGACAATTCAGTCAATAAACATAAATTGAGTCTTTACAATCCACTATTTCTATTATAGGTTTAAATTTGCAGGCCAATAGCAACTGGAGACAGTTGGAAAGGAAAATGAGATTCAAATAACAGGAACCAGGTTTAAATTGAAAAGATATATATCTTCTGCAAATGTAATAACAATTTTCTGAAAACAAATTAAGGATTTTTTAAAAATATAATCAACCTCCATCATAAAGTTTTGAAAGATCATTATTCACAGTAAAGCATAATTTACTTTGAGGACGTGTAAAATTAGGATGCTTTAAAAATATCTGAAGACCAAAGACAGTTTTGGTGCTAAGAAATAACATTTCTGTGAGCTGACTGTGGCACATCAAGAAGATATGTGAAATTCTTGTGGTAATTTCATATCTACAGTAAAGAGCTCTAGAAAATATCCACTAATGAGCACAAAGCTTCTGGATTAAACACTCCACAGATGAGAAGTGTTTTAAAAATTGTAGATATACTGCATGTCTAGGAGCCCCATTTCAGGGCTAGTGGTCTTTCAAACTAGATTTAATTGTGTTCTGTAAATAGACACCTTACCAGAAATGCAGTGGATATCCTGTTGAGATTTTTTAAACATTATTTTTGTGCACATTGTTAGAGATAATTAATGTACTTGAACTTGTATTCCGGCCAACACGATCCACTGGAATAACACTTTCCTTTTGAGGGTACTCCTTTAGAGATTATAGTTACTTGCCTAAAGTTAACTTAATTGCTAAAAAGTAGTACTGTATCTAAAAAGAGAGACGAAGCAATTACTGCCCTTCTATTAATAATCCAAACATACTTTCCAGTGAAACCTTTGAAAACTTTTCCATGTTCAGCAAATCACCACTTTACCCAAAAACTCTCTGAGAACTGAAAATAGTTTATTTGTACCAAATTCCCTTTGATTTAAGGTCTTATTAACTTGAAAAGAGCTCAGTGACATTTAGAATTGTGCTGTAGTCTTGGCATGGCATTGACATACAAATCCACATTTTAGTGAAGATAATAAGAAACAAATCCATGTATTTCTTTTAAATAATAAAGTTTACTTTAGTTGATATACATACATGTAATATAAAGAAAAATCATTATTATTTTGGATGTAAAGAATACTATACATTTAACTGGAGCCCTGGTGGCACAGTGGTTAAAAACTTGCCTGCTAACCAAAAGATTAGCAGTTCAAATCCACCATCTGCTCCTTGGAAACCATATGCGGCATTTCTACTCTGTTGTATAGGGTCGGTCGCTATGAGTCAGAATCGTCTCAAGGGCAACAGGTTTAGTTTCTTTTTTTATACATTTAACGGAAGAAAAAAATAAAAAGCATAAAAGAAACTCTTCTCTTGGGAAACTGTAGTATGTTGCCTTTCTCCTATGCCTTACTTTCAGAATATAAATCTGATACATAAGCATTTTTGCAGTTGTAATTCTTAAAATCACTAATATCCAAGTTCCATCTTAATACCACCTTAAGTATTCAGTTTATTATGAGGGGTTTGTTTTTAATTATCTCATGTGCTCCGTGGCTCATTCAACTTTTGATTTATAACTTTAGAACAAGAATATTGAGAATAGATTGCATTCCTGATTTAATGGGAAATAAATAATACATCGATTTGTCAAGATAACATCTGTATTCAGATTCTTTATTCATTAGAGTCTGCTTGAATAAATCAACATAATTTATAAGTAACATGTTTCTAAATGTTAAAGTAAGACCTGTTGTATTAAAGTTTTTTTTTAATCTAGAAATTTATAAAGAAGATAAAAACCGCCATCCAAAAAGCGCTGTGAACATTTAGTTTACTGGTTTACACTGTAGGCTAGGGGATCAAGTGACCTGGATTCAGAATGTAGCCCCTAACCCCCACTTTCTCACTGAGGACTTTAGACAAACTTCATAATCTCACAATCCCTTAGTGTTCCTATCTGTAAAATGGGCCACTAATGATTCTAGCCTCGTAGAATGGTCATGGGCTTATCGTAAGTCTCAATAAATAAATATTCTGAGTTTTTATTTTTTTTTTAACACATATGTATGTAGGTTTGGGGGAGTTTTATTTAACTTCTTATGGAAAATTTCAAACATGTACCAGTATAGGAATAGTCTAATAAACCTACAAGGTATCCACTACACAGTATCAACACTCAGCTGATGGCCAGTGGTATTTCATCCATACCACTACTCACTACCGACACCCCTGATTACGTTGAAGCAAATTCCAGATACTATATCATTTCATTCATAAATATGTCTATGAAAAAAAAAACCCACTGCTGTCGAGTAGATTCCAAGTCATAGCGACCCTATAGAACAGAGTCGAACTGCCCCACAGGGTTTCCAAGGAGCAGCTGGTGGTTTCGAACAAGCTCTTAATCACTGCACCACCAGGGCCCCAAATAGTATCTCTAAAAGATTAGGGCTCTTTATTAAAAATACAAGCACAGTCTGTTGTCACATCCAAAATAATTAACAAGTATCCGGAAATTCACACAGTGCTCAAATTTTCCTAATGACTTCATAATTTTTTAAAAGTTGGCTTGAATCAGACTTTTCTTTTGTAAACTCAACATTTTAGTTAATTGCTAATCCAGCATTGATAGGGCCGATCTCGTTTACCCTGCAGTCATCCACTGTTCTTCTACCCACTCTTGGCCCATTCTTGA